CTCTTAGAGAAAAGTATTGTTCTACCCCAGTAACAACTGGGAAAACAAATGCCACCATTTATCAGGCAAGTGCTGACAATAATAGAGGTCAAGTGGATTTATAGTGCCAGAATCCATTATGTGTTTGAAGACTAATTAAAGCCTTAAATGAGATGCTTGTCCTACTGGAGGCTGCTGCTTTTTTTTTTTTTTACTTCTTTCTTCTCTTGCTGCTGTGCTTGCTTCTCCCCCCCTCCTCTTTTCCTCTTTAAGAGCTCTGCTGTAATAATGGAGCATGAGCTTGACAGAGCTTCCCTGATTAGATGTCAGCAGCGTATGATTTGAGATGCTCTGTGAGCACTGGGCTCGCTGGACCGTATCTCCACTGTCACTTCAGAGCCTGGGAGGCTTTGCAGACCAGTATTCCACCCCAACCAACCAACTGGCTGGCTGGTCTCATTGAATTATAGTGGGCAATATTTAGAGCTGTCTGCCAGAATCAAAGGTCTGGAAGGCTGAGAGCTATACAAACTGGGGAAGGCACTGTCCAGGGCTGGAAGAACCCACACAAAAGACAAGTCAATATCTTGGTTAATGCAGGTGCAGAGAGGAAATGACCTTTTCATGAAGATACAGCAAGTCCTCGTTGCAGGTTTGTTGTGTAATTTGGGGGGCAAAGCCTGTGCTCTGTGGGGTAACCACAGTGGCTCCCCTGGAGCACTGCAGGCAGCAGGGACTAATGTTGGCCACGCAACCTTTCCCTGTTGATCTTCTCTGGAGTCCACTGTCAGGTTTAATTGTGCTTCCTGTGGTAGAGCCAGCCAGAGGGATCCAGTGTGTTCCTGAGCTGCGTGTGGGGGGGCTGCTCTGGCCCCAGCCGGGAGGGAGTAGGCAGCTCTCGGAGCTGCTGGAGATGGGGGAGAGCCTAGGAGTTATCAAAGCACATGTCAACTTGATGAGAGCTCCTGGCAGGGCTCCCTGAGTCGCTGCTACACATGTTCTGCTCGATCTTGTCAGCTGAAATCCTGAGAGCCTGGTGGATGTGGAGCCTGTCTGTGCAGGGACAAACTCTGCCTGCACTGTCTGCCCAGCTCTGCCCTACTGCACGTCCCTGTGGGATGATCCCATCACCATCCTCTGAGAAAGCTTCCTTGTGTTTTCTGTGGCTGCATCTCACTTTGTTGTGAGGAGCAGCTAGGGAGTTTTTGCTGCATGAGCATCCAGGAGTCGGACCTTTGATGATCCTTGTGGGTCCCTTCCAACTCAGGATATTGACAGTATGATTTCTCCCCTATTTGCACCCCAAAACCCAAGAATTTACCTGTTGGAGAGCCTGTCCCTAGCACAGGAATAGAGTCCTTGCCTCTGGAGACCATACTGCTCCTGCCCAGGCAGTATGGAGCTGGTGGCAGATTCCAAGGGATAGGAGAAAAATGGGAGGAAGATGCTGTGCCTGCTGCATGCACCATGTCAGTGCTCTGGTTCAGCCTCCATCAGATATGCAGGATCCATGTAGCTCTACTGAGGAGCTTAAAAAGCCCAAGGAGAGCAGATGGTGCACTACCAAATTTCTGGCTGATTGTAGATAAAGTTCCTGTATCCATGTCATTGCAGGTAGCACAAGGATGTGCAGAAGGGGGGAAAAGATGGATCTAGGTGGGTATGTGGCCTGGAAATGTTGGGTTAGTGTCCCAAAGACTAGAAGAATAGGGAGTATTTGTGAGCTGGGAGGATGTGAGGGAGCTGGGGAAGCAAGGATGTCTCATGGCATGTTAAGGGGTAACCTGTGCCAGTGTCTCACAACCCTCACAGGGAAAACTTCTGATTTAATTTTCCCTCTTTCAATTTATGCCCATTACTCATTGTCCTGTCCCTGCAGTTCCTAACCTCTGCAACTTCCTTGGAGCCCCTTCAGATCCTGGAATGGAAGTTGCGCTCTCCACTCAACCTTCTGTCCTCCAGGCAAGCTTCTCTTCTCATACATGCAGATAAGCACACAGGCATCACCCTCTGCTCTGTTGCAGTGAACTTCCCCCTCCCTGGAGCCTGTTGCTCCCTCCCAAGGAGGAAGGTGACAGCTCCATCAAGTTTTGAGATACAAGAATGTGAGAACCGTTAAACTCACCCCAGGAACCAAAGCCAAAAATCAAAAATCCCTTTGGCTCTTGAGGGTGTTGAGATCATGGGTGGGGGAGGAAGAGAGTTTGAAAAAAAAATATTTAAAAAAGAAACAGCCCCCCTGAGCAGAGAGAAGAATAACATCCAAGGAGCTCCAGGAAAACAGGGCATGAATACAGCCAGTCAGGAGTGTTGCTCAGCTGATGTTCACAAGAAGGTTTCGACTTGCTCTATTAGAGACCTCAGTAAACCTTCAAGACAGAGAGAGCATTTAGAAATGTCCCTGAGGTTTTCCGTTGCTCTGCAGCAGCCTTGGTAAACATGCCAATAAATGCTGGAGAGAGAGAGAGGAAAAAACCTTCCAGAGGAACAGACCTGAGTTTTCAGCTGCTCCATCTTTCACATCCGCGGCTGCTGCTGATCGGCACTGAGGGGAGAGAGGAACAGTTCAACTTTGGCTGAGTATTGGGTGGTGCTACTGGGAAAAATAACTTGGAGGAGGCTGAAAGTTACATCTGGAGCCATCTGAGGGAATGTCCTGGTTGGAGACACAAAGTTAGTGGGACTTCTGTCACGGGGCACTTGTGAGTATGAAAACCTCTGCTCTCCTGCAAGATGAGTACCTGTGGGCTGCTGTGGAGTAAAGGGGAGAAGCTCCCATGAGTCTGGTGGGAGTTGCTGCCTGTGTGGATCTGGTTTCTGGTAGCCCTGAGTGATAGGTACCTTCTCAATTCTTCTTGCTGCTTGTTTAACCTCAGCTCGTGGTGAGTGGGGACAGCGTTCGGTCCTGGCACTGGTTGGGTTTCCTCCTGGAAGTAACCAGCTGAGTTGGATGGCTCAGGAGTTGCATTTGTAATGCCAAACTTCTTCCTCTCTTAGCTCAAGTGTGTGTAAAACCCACACAGTAACAGAGAGACAGCAGCATGCAAACAAGTGAAGAAGACAAGTTGTTCTGCTGGGGTAGGCTCAGCTCACTCTGCCTGTTAGATGAGCAAGGGGGAAGGGAGAGTGTCTCAGATTAGAAATTAGTGGCTGCTGGCCAGGGGTTTAGTGCTGCTGGAAATGTACAGAGCACCTGAGGACGGAGGTGTATAATTAACAGCTCTTTAGACAGCTGGAAATGGTGTCTGTTTATCTAATAGGACACACTTTGCTGCTTTCTTGCTTTCCTAGAAGTGGCTGTTAAAAGCAGCTGTGACGCACACTCACTTCCAGGGCTTGGCCTCACCTCTTGGGCATCACTCTGAACCCCAAAGGTACCTCTGATCAAGTGTTTGTAGGTGACTTTTATAGCAGACCCACCTCCCTGCTCCACACAAGGCTGTAGGTTATCACTCTCTTGTGTATTCACATCAATATCTGTTCTGCTCCCACTCGCCAACCCTGATGTCAGTCCCTCTGAACTCAGAGCCTGGTAATGAATCACCTGAAAATGAAGCTGGTGCTAATGTGCTTTTTGGATTAGAGAGGTAGAAATGTGCAGAAATATTTTGCTGATTTGAGTCTTTATGGCTGCAAGAAGTAAATCAGGGTAGTGAGGGGCAGAGACATTAACACTTGGTCATGTATAACTGAGATGTGATGTGTGTACATGACCCTTGCTGAGGTCCCAGCTGGTCTGAACTTGTACCTCATGAGGCTGAGCAAGGCTGAATTCAAGACAGTGATGCATCTGGAGTTGGTGCAGTTTGGATACAGATGTGAAGACATCTGGAGCCCTGCAGAGCTGGACATGTGTTGGTGCAGGAATCACTGCTACCTGGAGCCTGTTTGCACTTAATCACCATGTTCTGCTTACAGTCAGTCTTGAGTTCTGAGTTTTGTGCCTTCTGTCTGTTAAGTGAGCAACTCTGGGCTCAGAGCCTGTGGGAGCTGCTGCAGCAAGCTAAGGTGCTGTTGGGTGGTGGTGGAAGGGTTGGGTTTGGGGAATTTGCTGTTGCAGGAACCACACAAAGCTCTGTGGTGGTTTCCATTCCCAGGGCTCAGCATGGGGATGGGTTTCCACCCCCAGGATTTCCCCTGAAGCTTGGAAGTTGTCATGAGACCTTGAGTAGAGAGCTTTGGTTTCTGCCCTGGTGTGGGATGTCATGTGGGGATCAGCTAAACTGAAGCCTTCAGGACAGATCAGGGAAGGAGAGCAGGAGGGTGGAAGGGCAGAAGCTTTCCCAGATGTGGTGGAGTCAGTCCAGGGCTGTTTGTCAGCAAGGCAAGAGCAACTGGGAGCAGGTTGACCATGGACATAGAGTTTGAAAATCAGAGCTGAACTGTGTTTCACCCACTCTGTTGTTGTTGGAATAGTCCATTAAAATGAATTTTGTGAAATCTCAAACAAATATCATGAATGTTGCCAAATTTTGTTTTCTCTGTCAGGTTCAGGGCAAGGTTTCTCTCCCCTTAAGGCTTGGCTTGTGATAGTTAGAAAATATTTGCTCCTTCACTTAGTTTTCCAGCCCTTGTGACTGTCAAGCAAAGCTCAAAGTTGAGTCCCAGATACATTCTTTGAGTTACAAACATGAAGATAAAGCAACAAATTACCAGATGGATCAAACTGTATTTTTGTTATGAATTTTCTCAGTGCCAGTCCCATGACTTTTGTGGTTTAGAGTGGAGTTTGTACCTCCTGAATTCCAGAGACTTCGTTTGAGCTCAAGGTCGTAACGTGACGCGGCTCCTGATCCGATAGCGAAAGCCTCACGCAGCCCAAGCCAGTGCTGACTGTGCTGAGTGTTCTCCAAAAGCCCCAAAACAACAGAGAGAAACCCCACACTTGAATCTCAAGGCCAGCACAGCTGCAATATCCCATCTCCTTGACTCTGTAGCTCACCAGAGCAGAGGCTGAGCCATGGTTTGAGTCTGTGCTGTCGGTGAGTGACTCCCTGATGTGAGAGTGTGTTGTTTTACAGGGGCCAGGCCAAAGAGACTCCAAAGGAACAGCATGGACAGCTTAGACCTCCTCAAATTCCCTTCTGAAAAGGTAAGCAAAGCTGTCTAGCCTCAGAGATGAAGTATCAATAGGGATCTGTACACAGATCAGATGTACTGGCTTCATTTGCAGGGAAATATGCAATTAGCAGATATCGTTGGAGTCAATGGGATTAACCAAAGAGGGTTTCTAGAGAGCTTGGAGGAGAGGAACAGCTGCTCTGACTAAAAAGGCACTTAACACTCAAAGCTGTAAAGCCACTTCTCTGCTTTTCTGAAAAAAAACAGCCCTTTATTGGGAGGATAATGGTGAGTGGTTTAGCCCCTGCAGTGGCTGGGGCAGATCCCAGGGTCACCCCAGCAGAGTGGCAGAAGGGCAGACACGGGAGCTGGTGCATTGCAGGAGGCAGAGGGGTTTGTTCCAGGGCACTCTGAGCATTGCCTCTGCTCCAGCTGCTGCTGGGAATGTCAGATCTGAGCAGATCAGCGTTTTCTCCATCTCCCCAGGGTGTTCCTGCAGCCAGCTGGGAGGCACTGAGCCTTCCCAGCTACAGGGATCAGTTCAGCCTCTCAGAAAATGCTGTGCAGGATGCTGGGGCTGCCCTGCAGCAGACACTGGTGCTGCTGTGGGGCTGTTGTGCCCATTCCCAGAGGAGGTGGCCAGGCAGGCCATGCTCTGCCTTTTTGGAATGTCTTTGGCACAGATAATTTACATTCACCCAGTGCTTTCCAGGCACAGCTCTCCCAAGTGTCCCAGGGAGCATTTCCCCTTTACAGAACTGCCACAGAGAGAGAAAACTTGCCCAAGCTGCAGGTGAGTGTAGATGGTCAATGGGAAACAACCTCAGGCTTGGATGGCTAAACATCCTAGTGAGCACTGGAAGAGCTGGGCAAAAGCTCCCCACTGAATTAACTGTATTTGGGAAATAAATTCCAAATGTTCTGATGGATTTTAACCAATTCTCTCAGTGCCCCTTGGCCGTTTTGGCCCCTGCTTGCTCCCAGCAGTGTGACTCTGTGCCCAGGGCATTGAGAGCAGGACAGCAATGCCCACGTCAGGGACGTTCGATCCCATGTCCTTGTGGGAGCAGCACAGCCCAGAGGCCTGGCCAGGGGGGGTTTGCTGATGTGTCACTTGCTGCTGATGCTGTTAATGCTGTTGGTTTGCTGCTCATTCAATAGTTCAGGCAGGGTGATAGGATTTCATGGGGAGGATGGAGTAAGCAGGAGCTGTGGAGTCAGGTATGAGTATTCCTCTTCCTCCTGTGGGGTGTGTGTGAATTCACCTCTCCTCGAGAGTGTGTTTTGGATGCAATTCCCATTCCTCTCTCCTGCTGTGGCTCGTAGGGAGAGATGATCACAGCCATGGGAGAGGTTTGTTTGCTCGAGCTTGCTGTGGTGGGAGGGATAAGGTTGTAAGGAGTAAATCAGCAGAGTGAACTGTGATGTCTCTAGCATCCTCTCAGTATTGTCTCATCTTCTGCCCACCACCTCTGCCAGAGACAGTCTTCAAAGGCAGCAAGGACCCCTGTTACCACCCAGGCCAGGAGCTCCTGTCCAGTGCCTCTGCACAGAGTCCTGTGTCAGGGCAGGGACTGGCCTCGTTGGCCCCAAATTCCCCAGCAGATAGCAGGAGCTCTGCCTCCTGCTCATCCTTCCCTCTCCATCCTGTGCCCTGTTCCTTGCTTTAACCTTCTCTGGGTTTAGCTTCCAGCCATTGGTTCTTGTTTATCCCTCTGTGTACCTGACTGAAATCTCTTTATCCCACACTGGGTCTCACCCTGAAGGTACTTCCATGCCATAATTGAGTCATCTCTTCTCCCTGTCATGCACTGAGCTCTAACTAAGGCACTAAGGTATTGTCAGGCAGTTTCTTCCTAGTTCTTAAATATATTCTTGTGGCTGCTTTCAAGGCATGGACACTGGCTTGGCTGCAGCTAGTCCCATTCACAGCATCTAAGGAAATCAATCTCTCCTTGCTTATTCCTGTTTGTAATCTCTGTCCCCTCCATTCCTGGACCTTTCATCCCTCATTCC